CTTGTTTGACGTCAGAACAGGATACCCCTACATCTATATAGCCAACCGCATGGCACCAAAGATGGAAGTGTTTATTTATATCAGTCTTAATCTACCTTTCGCTGTTGGAAGTTCTGAAGGCCGAATGGACAGCGTGTCTGCGTTTGAAGTCATACAATTATTTTATTAGCGGGAGATCGAATCCCGGTCCCGAAAGGATTGTTTTTTCTTTCTTTTTCTTCTCCTCCTCCCAACTGACCAACAGTTTGTCCCATAAATTATAATTTGTTGCTTTGTAGTGTTTTTTTTATTCATGTAGTGATGAAGCATGCAGGAAGGGTGGGGGGTAGTCCTTCGGCGTCTTTACGGCAGTTTTCGTGCGGTTTATAAATTAAAGTCTTTACGTTTACCGTGTTTCAACTTTAAGCATCAGCGTTCTTACTGTTCTGAGCATCAACGATCTAAGCGATCTTCCATCATGTCCAAGTACTAGGAATTCCGAAACGCAGTGTCTACGTACACGGTAACCGGGCATCTAGTCTCAATATCTACATATACGGTAACTGGGGACCTAGTCTCACCTAGTCTGAGTATCTACGTACACGGTAACCGGCTACCTAGTCTCAGTATCTACGTACACGGTAAACCGGAATGAAAATAAAAATCAATATTTTGTCCTGTGCTGTCACTTGCTGAAAAAAAAAGAAAGTCATACAAGCATCTAGTTGGGCTCGCCATCGTGACAGGCTAAGCGTTGGCATCACATTATGAGTACCGGTTGGGGGTCACCAAAATTCATTCAAAGCCTGTGCGCTGCGAAGTATAGATACGGCTCTGGAATGGGGGGGAATTATTGATTTTTTTTTAAGGTACAGTCGGGGAGGGGTGGGGATGAAGGCAACACCGGATGACAAAAACTGATTTTGAAGTTGAGCAGCCCAGTTACCATGTACTTGACCCTGAGACTATGTGCCCGGTTACTGGTTACCGTGTACGTAGATATTGAGGCTAGGTGCCCGGTTACCGTGTACGTAGACACTCCGATTCCGAAATGTTTTTAAACAAACCGAAAACACGTCATTCCATGCGGTACCTCCACGGCCCTCTTAAAATAGTCTGTGGGTATCCCAGGAAGTGATGACATCACATTACTCAAATTAGCAGCCAATCAGGAAGATGCGTCGTTCTGCGTTTAATCGCATTATAATTTAATCAGACTTCAGACTGGAATCTTAGAGGAGAGACTTGAGGAGTAAAAATTCTGTTCTCATAAAACAGCTGTAAGTGTACTGGGATCGTAGGCGGTGGGATCTTAGGTGAAGACCAAATATGTCTATATTTGGATAGTATAGGCCTGAGTCAGCCAACTAAAAGTAGGCCTACAATTCCAACAACATCGTTTCGTTTGGAATACCTCAGCCTCAACATGTTCAATCCTCCTAAGTATTTCTCTTGTAAATCTAGACTCTAGATCTAGATATATCTAGATCTAAATTAAATGGTTTACAGTTCAGCAGTGAGTCTGGTTTAATATTAAATCTAGAATCTAGATAAATCTAGATCTAGTAGATCTATATCTAGATCTAGCAGGGGCGAAGGCTGACTTGTTTGACAGGGTAATCAAAGTGAAATGGGACCAGATAGGGCCTGGAGATATCTCACTCACACAAGTCACAAGAATCTTACTGGCACTGGAGGCGGCAACTCTGAGTTGTGAATGAAAACAAATCCTGAATTCATGTTGTATGCTTGTTCAACCGCTAAAATAATCGGGAAAGTATTTCATTAAATATTTATTCTAATTAACCTTAAATTTAACTTTAGATTTGAACACACGAACACCAAGGAAAGAAGCACTACAATGGCATGTTATACCAGACAGCCGAAACACTTTGGTAGAGCACGCCAATTATTAATTTTTTATTTCACATTTGGCTGTTTTTTGTCGAGCTTTTCGCGGCCAGGAGCCGCTGTCATAATCGAGGTCACGATCTGATTATAGGACGTTAGCACTAGCAGTGTAGTAGCAGGAGTCAAAGGATTATAAGGAGTTAGTTCCCCTCACATCTGTGAGGTAGACTCGACCAGTGTAATAGTTCGCTTAGATAATTCAGCGCGTCTGGGTGCTTATAACTGTGGCCCGAAAGGGGTGAACAGGGTATATGCGACAATGAAACAGTTCTGACTGCTATGCACATGTTCCCTTCAAATCTATTGGTTGACTCTTCCAGCCTCACTTTAAGCTTACTTAATCAAAGCTTGTGACTGCTTATGGAGTGGCCCGATAGGGGCGAACAGGCTATTTCTGTGGCAATGAAACGGTTTTGAAGGTTAGGCATAGTCTATTGTTCATTGGTGATTATGAACGTCTTTTTACATTTAATTTATGAGGTTTACGTCTATGGGTGAATTTGACTGCGACAATGTTTCAAAATTAGGAAGGGAAGCAGTGATTATTTGATTATATAGACGCTTCGCCTCTGAGATCTAGATATCTAGATCTAGACATATAGACTAAGTACAGTCGAACCTGTGTAAGACGGAATCGCATTTTCCATCTTAGACGGGAATTTAGGGGGGAGATGGAGGTGTGGGGGGGGGGGGGGCAAAGGCCCAGCCGGTGGGATCAAGGATCACTTGTCCGATCGGCAAGCAGTGGTCAAAACTTCACACCTCTCAGCTGCTATCCTGTCTGATAATGACATGCGTCAGTCTTACTTATCCAATTACCACCAGTGCTTTCCATTCATAGGACCACTGTTTGACCTATTAAAAACAGAAACGTTTGAACATCTCCTTTGCTTCCACCCTTAGCCCCACCCACCACCAATCATCATCATCATTGCCTTTCTCACCCTGCACCAGGGTATAGGCCACGGACAAACACCCCCCACTTTTCTCTATCCCGGGCTAGCCTCTTGATGTTATTCCATGTCTTCCCACTTTTCTGTACATCGATTTCTGTGATTCTTCTCCAAGTTCCACGAGGTCTTCCCCTTGATCTCTTGCCCTGTGGGTTCCAATCCAAAACTTTCTTTGTTATGCAGCTGCCTGACTTCCTGAGAGTATGTCCAATCCATCGCCACCGCCTTCTTCCTACCTCATCCCTGACTGGGATCTGTCTTGTTTTCCTTAACACTTCCACATTGGTGACCCTGTCTGTCCATCTGATCCTCAGTAACTTTCTTAGACACCTGTTCAAGAAAACCTGGATCCTCTTTATACAAGTCTGCAATGCGTTTCATGCCTCACATCCATACAACAGGACCGACTTCACGTTTGAATTGAAAATCCTCAGCTTTGTTCGAAGTGAGATCTCTCTGGTCTTCCAAATCCTATCCAAAGATATGAAAGCAGCCTGTGCTTTTCCAATGCGGGACTTTATTTCAGCACCTGTTCCTCCCTCTCTGTCAATTATGCTCCCAAGATAACAGAAGGATTCAACGTTTTCTAGGGCCTTTCCTTTTATTGTGACCTGCTCCTTTCGTTGTGCATCTGTCCTTAGTACCTTTGACTTTCCGGGGTGGATCCTCAATCCAACAGACTCCGATAGGCTGTTAAATACTGAAGTCTTTGCTTGTATCTGTTCCCGGGTGTGCGACAGAAGCGCCAAGTCGTCTGCGAAATCCAGATCGTCCAACTGTGTCCATGGTGTCCACTGTATACCATTTCTGTGTCCTCTGGTGGTTTCCTTCATCAGCCAGTTGATTGCCAATATGAAGAGGAACGGTGATAGTAAGCATCCCTGTCTCACTCCAGTCTTGATGTCAAAGCTGTCCGTGAACTGGCCATCATGTACAACCCTGCAACTACCAACCACCAATGCCACCCCTTTTCTCGGCTGGCTGTACGATCAGGGCGGCAGGCATTGGTCAAACTAATTTCACACCTCTGGCTTCTGGCTACTCATGAAAGCTACCGTAGTGGCTCGCTACTTGAGCACTCTCACGGGCAGTCGAGAGATTTCACACCCACACTCTACACTGACCATCTGCATCGCTCAGGGCTCACATGATGGGGTAACACCTACCCCCAAATTGCTCCCCTACTCCCCTTCCTCGCCCAGCGGCATGACCATAGCGTTCAGTTTAGAGTCGGCGGAACTACACTTGCGAGTTTTGTTTCAAATCAGGGCTGAGCAGGCAAAGCATTTTCCGTCTTAGATAGGTGAAACCCTCGGAAGGGAGCGGATTTTTCTTTCCGTTTCCGCGTTGGACAGGTTTCCATTTTATACAGGTAATTAAAGAGGAATATATCAACAAGGGGGGAGCGGGGAGATTCCGTTAAGACAGTTTTCCGTTTTACACAGGTTTCGGTATTTTTTTACTTTCCCTCCCGTCTCACACTCAGCTACCAGTTGTCTATTTCCTACAAAATATTGATGCGTAGAACACGAATATCAACTTCATTTCCGTCGCAAATTAATAGTTTTTGAAATATTTGATTGTTTTTATCCGAGATAGACGTGCTTTGGACCAATCGGGGGGTTCCAGGGGGGCCTGCCCCACTGGGGTAAAAGAAAATCTGGGGGGTTACAGGGGGGCATGCCCCCCTGTTTTTACCCATAATTTGATATTTTACAGTTAGATTTGAAATTGTCTTGAAAATAATTGATTTGCGACAGTTTTAGTGGCTTTATGGGTGATCTGCAGCAAACAGTCTGCAGTTTGACCTCTGAAACAGTGCATCTGTGTGTGGGAGTGAAAGTAAAAATTTACCCAGGTTTCCATAAAGGCAAGTTCGACTGTATATACTGTAGACTGTACTGTACTGTAGACGAAGAAACGGACATCTAGATCTAGATCTAGAAAATCTAGATCTAGATATATCTAGAGATCTAATATGGTTTAGGCCTACATAAGTGTTAAAAAACTATTTTTAAAAAAACTTCTAGATTCTATCGAGTTTCGAGCGTCATCACAAATTTAGTAATAAATATTCCTTGTTGTAACAAATACAAAGGCTTCGAACGTGAAAGCGAACTTTGCAAACAAGGAAAGGAAAATCTATTTCGGACTTACCCAGTCCGTCGCCAGAGTGCCCAGAGTAGTTGTGGATTGGACAAAACTAACAACACGTATTTAGTGAGTAATTGAGAGACATTAACATCGTTAAACTATTAAGTTACAGTATCCACCTCCAACAATGTGTGAAGATTTTGTGCTGGAAGATTTCTCACCTGAAGAAGAAATTTGGAGCACAAGGCACTAATCTTCATTGTTGACAGTACTTTCAGTAGGTCATGATAATCTATTTTCATCGCACATAAAATGTCATGTGACACTCAGTCACATGGCTTGGCGGCAGTTGGGGGAGAAAAAATCGGAAATCGTTGAATTCGTCTTTATATTATAATTCAATACATTTATTTTTAGACAATTTTGCATTTTAACAAAATTCTGTAATTTCAATAGGAACATTGTGCCTCCCCTACCATTCTCAGCAAATAAAACTTGCAGAGAGGCAACAGTAACCAAATGAAAAACTCTTGGCGTTGTCCCTTTTTTGAATGATAATAATATGATTGAATTATTGGGCTTCATCTTCCACGGGCAAATCAAGCTCCTATACGTTGGCTATGCCTTCACGCGCTGAATGGACCACAGTGGATCGTGCCTTGACCTCATGTATAATGGAAGCCTGTCCATGATCAGCGCGTTGTCCCACTTCTGTGAGAGACAAAACGTGTAGCTCAGAAATCTCAATGCCAGATGCACCGTACTGCTGGTAGACCACAGACATGGGTGGGAAGAAAAGCCACAGGCTCCCCAGCAAATATGGAAAAGAAAAAGAACATAAATTTATCCGAGCTCGCGAGACGCCTCGTTTATCAAGGCCCGCGCCAGGCAGTGTCCCCCCAGGCTGCTGGTGAAAAGTTAGCTACTGGGAAAACAGAACCGTTAAGACTACTCCAGGTCAACGTTTGTGGCCTCGCAAACAAGAAAATAGAAATTTCTTATCTTTTGGACTCAAGAAAAATCCACGTTACCCTATTACAAGAAACTATTCACCGTAACACAGACCCCTGTATCCCAGGTTACACCCATATACCGACATATGCCCTAACTGCGGGTGTAATCACCTACTTCAGAAATGACATACAATGAAAAGAAGTTGAGAACATCACAACTAACACAAGAACAGACACCCAAAAAGCTACAATTTGGTATCAAATTTACAATCTTTAACATCTACAGCCCCTCCCCCCCCCCCCCCCCCCCCCCCCCAGGAAATGCCTGCTCTTTTTCATACTTTCTCCAAAAATCGATATGCACCAAAACAATAGCTGCGGGTGACTTTAATGGCCACTCTCCTCAGTGGGGATACAGAACATACAACAAAAGCGGAAAGGCCATAGAGGAACAACAAACCTCCTTGTTCTCCAAGACAAGAAATCTACCCCTACCCTTTTACACAGGGCTCACAACACCCTCAGCAGGCCTGGTCTGACCATCCTTTCATCCGACCTCTTGACGGTGTAGGTAGCGACCACAGACAAATCATGACTTCGGTGTCGACCCCAAGCCAAAGTCACTTTGTACAAAAGACCAAGTGGAATTTTAAAAAGGCGAACTGGGAGCTCTACAAGACAACAACAAAAAAGCTCATGAAAGATATTACACCAAACTCCTCTGTTGATGTCTTCTGTGGCGCAATAACAGATTCTCTGCTCAAGGCAGCAGCTCTCTGCATCCCTAGGGGCTGCAGGAAGAAGTACAAGCCCTTCTGGAACGAGAACATCGAACAAGCAGTCCAAGACAGAGAAAATACACGAAAAACTCTTGAAAGCAATCCTACAACAGGAAACAAAATTAATTAACTAAAAAAAAGCCTCTGCTAAGGTCAAACAGACAACCCTCTTGGCCAGTTGAAACAAATGGAGCACCACAGTTGCAGACCTTGACCTACACAGAAACAGAGCCAAAGCCTGGTCACTTCTCTCCAACTTGTGTGGAGAAAAGCGCCGAAACAACCCAAAACCCATGGACACAGAGGAAGGCACCATCGTAGAAAACCAAAAAAGGCAGAAACCTTCAACAAGTTCTTTGCTTCTATAAACAAAGCTACACCCCACACTGACCAACATAGAGACTGTCTGAAAAGACTGAAGGAGAAAAAGCAAGCGCCAAATGCAAGTATCTCTCTCTTTGAGGATGACTTCACACTCACTGAGCTCAACAGGGAAATGAAGAAACTGAAGCCCCGCAAATCCCCAGGACTAGATAAGATCCACAATGAAATGCTTGTCAGCCTCAGTCCCGTTGGTAAGGGTTATATTATCCTGCTGATCAACTAAACGTGGGATGAAAACACCATCCCCAGAGCATGGAGAAACGCCATCATCACACCCATCATTCTCAAGAAAGAAAAACCTGCTGAAGAAATGAAAAGCTATCGACCCATTTCACTCACCTCGTGCACCGGGAAACTAGCAGAGAGAATGGTCAACCACAGCCTATACTGGTGGTTGAAAACAACCGGTGCCCTGGACAGCAACCAAGAAGGATTTAGTGCGGGCCAACGAACAGATGACCAGCTCTTCAGACTCAGCCAGAAAGTCCTTGATGGCTTCCAGTAAAAGAAGCATACAGTTGCAGTATTCGTTGATCTCCAGCAAGCTTACGACAGGGTATGGAGAAAAGGCCTTCTGTGGAAGATGACACAGACAGGAATCCACGGGAAACTCTACAGATGGGTGAAGACCTTCCTTCCTTACAGACAGGACAATCCAGACCAGGATTAACAATGGTGTGTCATCCAAAGCTGTACTGGAGGAGGGCCTACCCCAGGGTTCCTCTCTGAGCTGCAAACTTTCCCTTGTTTTCATCAACGACCTGCCTGAGATGCCGACGACCTAGCCATCTGGCATACAAGTGAACAAGCTGGCATCGGTGCACGGCTTATAAATGAGGATCTAGATAGATTCAACAACTACTACTGCAAGTGGAAACTAAAAGCAAATTGTACCAAGACAATCTACATCGTCTTTACAAAAAGCCACAAAGTTGCAAAGCAAAATCTCACCATCTCACTTGCAGGAAACGAACTAGAAAAAAGTTGAAAAGCCGACCTACCTTGGGATCGAGCTGGACACGCAGTTTTCATGCAGAAACCATATCTGGAACCTGAAGACCAAGGCAAACAAGAGACTTAACCTTCTCAGACGACTGGCTAGCACTTCATGGGGAGCGGACAAGGATGCACCCAGACAGCTATATGTTGGCTATGTACGCTCCACCATGGAATATAACTTAACCCTACAGACAATCTGCAGCAAACCAACTCAGAGGTCTCTTCACAAAATCCAGAATCAAGCTGTACAATTTATCTCCGGAGCTTTGAGATCCACTCCAACTGCAGCTTGTGAAATCCATACGAATCTGGAACCCTTGAACTTGCGGAGAGAGGCAGCAGTTGTGGAGATGAGTGAACGCTACAAAAGACTAGAGAAAAAACACCCAAACAGGAAAATAATTGAACAGAGACGACCAAAGAAACGGATTTATGGAAGATCAATACTTGACACAGCCACTGAACTTGTAGAAAAACACCATCTCCTATGTAACAGAGAAATATATTACTCCCCTCATACACCAACATCAAGAATGCCAACATCAAAACTTCCCTCATAAAAGAGACAGTGAAAAAGGAATGTGACCCAGTAGAACTGAAGACAACAGCTCTGAAGACAATTGACTCCTACCCTAGTAACTCAATTCATATTTATAATGACGGGTCAGCCTTCAAGGGAACTATAAACGCAGGCTTTCGGGTAAGAATTGAACATCCTGATAAAACATGTAAAGAGCTATTTGATGCATGTGGTACTTCTGGTACAAATTACGAGGCTGAGGCCATCGCCATTCTAGCAGCAATCCTCCACCTGCCCAGCATTTTCATAATCAAGGACACTATTATCTTCACAGACGGAAATTCAGTACTCCAAGCTTTGGAAAACATGACTTTCGAAAGCCCAGCCTGCCTATCCGTGGCTCAAACAATCAACACCTTCATGCAGACCTATGCTGTCGACCTGACTCTAGAGTGGACACCTGGCCACAGCAACATCCCAGGAAATGACGGAGCAGCCTTGCCAAGAAGGGAGCATCACAAACACAACCTCACAACCCAATATCACAACAAGAGAGACAGCCAAGAACATCATCAAATGCAACACAAGGGAACAATGGCTCAATGGATGGGCAATGGGCAAAACTGGAAGAACTGTATTTGCACACATGACAGCCCCCAACTCAAAAGATGTACTAAATTCCCTGAGCAGAAGAGAACAAGTCACGATCTTTCGCATGCGAACACAACACATCCCACTAAATTCTTACCGAAATAGGATCCGCAAGGATACCCCACCCGACTGCCCGTTGTGCGACTGCCAGGATGAAACAGCACCACACCTCTTTAACTGCCCTGCTCTTTGCGACCTGCGTAGCACCTACCCACCTGCCTCCCCAGACATCGGAAATACTCTATACAGCGACAAAGCACAGCTGATTAAAACCTGTAAATTCTTTGCCATATCAACAAACCGAAGGGCTAGAACCCAAATGCCACTGGATCGGAAAAGTAAAGTAAAGTAAAAGTTGTTTTCTGTCACGGTGGCTTTTTTTTTGGGGGGGGGGGAGGGGGGGATTGTTGTCGTGGCTGCGCTTATTTAATCAATCGGGCTTACCTCAGTGATTGTGAAGACGGGCGTTTAAATCCCTAGGTGGTTGTTTCAGGTCCTCTTTAGCTTTTAAGGACATGAAAAGTGTTGAGTTAAAAATTAAGAGAATTTGAAAAAATATTGCACAACTGCTAGGAAAATGACGTTTAAAAAATTCCATTGTACTGACGAGAGTGAAAGCCTGATTTCACCACGATGTCTTTAAGTACTTCACCACGATTTTCTTCCTTGTAACATTCTAAATCTACGAGGGACATTCAATAAGTTTTTTACCAAGACTATAACGACCGACATACCTAAATTAATAAAGAGATTTGAATGACAAAACGAGTGAGAGTTTTTTCAGCTTTTCAGATCACAAATAGACTTCGCTTGAGTCCAGTCAGTATAAAGTTGCTGGTAAAATTTTAAACCCAGGTTGTAAAACAAAATTAAACTATCATTCGGTTTTTTAAACAACTAGACATACACAGAAATAAGATCATTTCCAACTGCTTCACAGTAAGAGTGTAACGATCGAAATGACTACTTACTAAATAAATTTCAAGGACAAAGAAAGAAGGCTGTTTCCAAGCTTTTAGCTCCCAACTACGTTTGTCCAGAGTGTGTGTAGTCAATACAAATATATACATATATATACATATATATATATGTATATTATATATATATGTATATTATATATATATATATATATATATATATAATATATATATATATATATATATATATATGTGTGTGTGTGTGTGTGTGTGTGTGTGTGTGTGTGTGTGTATGTGTGTGTGTGTGCGTGCGTGTGTACAAAAATATAACACTGATAGTGTAACAACTGACATAACAACTTACCAAGGAAATTTGGATGACAAAGAAATCAAGTCAGTAAAAGTTGATCGTAAAATTGCAGACCCAAGTTGTGCAAAACAAAAATCATTTTTTGGACGGTTGATACAACTCAACTCTGATAAAAGTTTTAGTAGGGGTTTTACGGCGCTCGCAAACTGCATAACAATACAACTCGACATACACAAACATAATAATAAACAAATCATGCTTAACACAGAGAGTGTAACGACAAAAATAACGACATACTAACGAAACTTAAATGACAAAAAAAAAGCTTTTATTTGGCATCTCACTTCATAACAACTAACAAGGCTTGGTAAGAGTCCTAGATGTTCAAAGTTGTTTATAAAATTGCAGAATCAGGATTTAAACAAAACTATGTGTTGGCTGTTACAAAATAAAAAATAGAAGATTAGTTTGAAAACTTAGATTGTAACGACCGACATAACACCTTTCTGAAAAAAAAGAAACTGGATGATAAAGAAATAAAGCTTTTCAGCCTTTTATATCACAGCTAGGCTTGGTTAGACCTATACGATCTATACTGAGTACGTATTGGGGGATCAGTTCTCTCATACAGACTGATCGCCAGACTCGTCGTCTGAAAACAAATGAGTTTGTTTTTGAGGCGACGATGAGTTGGACAATCAGTTTGTGCCACGATAGCCACTTTGCGCCCTCAATCTGGCAAGCAAACCGTACCGAACCGAACGTGCCAGTGCAAAGTTGCTTGTCAAATTGTAAATCCAGGTTGTAAAACATAGTCAGTTGTTGGTGTTACAACTAGACGTACACTAATAAAAACAAATCATGTTTAACAATGATAATCTCGTAATGACCAATAAAATTTTAATTAGGCCTACTTACTAAATATGTTTGGTTTTTATTGAAAAATAAAGCTTTTTTTCATCTTCTCAAATCACAAAAAGTAAAAAGGCTTGGGTAGAGTCTAGTTTGTACAAAATGCTTGTAAATTGCAGAACCGGGTTGCAAAACCAAATATTGGATTACCCCCCCCCCCCAAAAAAAAAGCACTTGTGAATCACACTAGAGTCTAGTCAGTCATAGCCAGCTGTTTCTTGTTCCTGTAAAACATAACTGAAACCTGTCTATGCCTACAACCTCTGTGACCCCCGGATTTTGTACACCAGAGAAACAATTTTATTTTTTTAAATGTTGGGGTGAATGGGCTATACTTCAGATTTTCAAAAAAACTCTTATGACATCTCCCTCGCCACAATGCAGCCTGTTTCCACGAGAAACACGCCCTCAGTCAGAGCAAAGAAGAAAAATCGTTAACAGACACACAAGCATAAACACAGACCAATGTAATAATACAAGCATGATTTTCTTTTTTTTTAAAGTTTTAGTAGAGTTTTTATGGCGCTCGTAACTGCATAAGGTCATATGAGCGCCAAGGGGTGGATGTCAACAGAAGTCCATACAGGGAATCAGGCTTACTCTGCTCACCTCTCTAGCTTCAACAGCACAAAGTCTGCATCGACTATCAAGGCACCCCGGAAAAAGCGGGTCACAAGAGAGTGACAAACATACAAAGAAAGTAGAGGAAAAATAAGAAGGATAGTAAGGATTAGGGGGGGGGGGGGCAT